TGGCAGCTATAAGCAAACAGTTTACTCAACTGGCCACTCCTGAACATTCGCTACCACAAAGTCCTTCTAGCCCAACTATCTCAAGCCCTACTGCTTCTTTTTCCTCTTTTTCCCCTCTCACTGAGAACTGTGTGTCGAAGCTTCTCACGTGCAGCTGCCCTACTACATGCCCACTCTACCCCATTCCGAGTAAGCTGCTCCAAGCAATTGCTCCTACAGTAGCCGCAGCAGGCATACATGTGATCAACGCTTCAATGGCATCCGGTACATTTCCCACCTCTCTCAAGCATGCTCAGGTTAAACCGCTGTTAAAACAACAATCTCTTCCTCCAAATCATGTGGAGAATTACCGACCTATCTCTCTCCTCCCTTTTCTGTCCAAAATCATTGAAAGGGTGACTTTCAAGCAGATCACAGAACCTCTCACAAAACTGTCTGCTTGACCCTTACCAATCTGGGTTCAAAAAGGGCCACTCCACTGAAACTGCTCTGTTAGCAGTGACGGAATCCTTAAAAGAAGCTAAAGCGACTGCCAAATCCTCAGTGCTTATCCTGCTCGACTTATCGGCTGCATTTGACGCTGTCAACCATGGCTTCCTTTTGTCCACACTCTCTAGCATGGCCATCACAGAGAAAGCACACACCTGGTTTGAATTGTGCCTCACAGGACAATCATTCAGCTTATCTTGGCTTGGACAATCCTCTACCGTGCACCATCTTGCCACAGGAGTCCTCCAGGGCTCTGCACTAGGACCTCTTCTCTTTGCCATATACACCACCTCACTGGGTGAGATCATTCAATCACATGGCTTCTCCTACCACTGCTATGCAGATGACACCCAGCTCTGTCTGTCATTTCCACCGGACGACCACACTGTCTCTGCACGAATATCAAACTTTCTCTCTGACATATCAAAATGGATGAAATCCGCCATCTCCAACTCAACCTCTCTAAAACTGAACTACTTGTCATCCCAGCAAAACCATCCATACAGCACAATATCTCAGTCAAAAATGACTTCCTATCTCTGGCTCCTTCAAAGGCAGTTTGAAATCTGGGTGTTGTGATTGAAGAACACATGACCTTTAAAGATCATGTTGCCTCTGTTGCTCGTTCATGCCGCGTTGCGCTGTATAACATACGAAAGATCAGACCATACCTAACACAACATGCCACCCAGCTCCCGGTGCAATCTACTGTCATCTCCCGCCTCGATTACTGCAATGCCCTTCTAACTGGTCTTCCAGCCTGTACTGTGAGACCTCTTCAAATGGTCCAGAATGCAGTGGCACGTCTGGTCTTCAATCAGCCAAAAATAGCACACGTCACCCCTCTGTTCATTGAGCTCCACTGTCTACCGCTAGCTGCACGCATCAAATTCAAATGGCTAACACTAGCATACAAAGTCCGAGATGGTACGGCTCCCATCTACCTGAATCCTCTTGCAAAGGCTTACGTCTCAGCCCGGCCACTCCGGTCATCACGGGATCGTCGGCTAGCAGTGCCTACACTACGCTCAGGACATTCCATGTTGTCGTTCTTTTTTAAAACACAGAAATGGTTTTGTTACCTGTAATTGACGCTACTGTTTACAGTTGACAATTACAGGTAACAAAACCGTTTCTGTGTTTTAAAAAAGAACGACAACATGGAATTAGAAATAACGCACAGCAAGAACACACCTAAGACGCTCAGGACAGTCCAGGCTCTTCTCATGCATTGTTCCACAAATGTGGAATGACCTACCAAGCACTACAAGAACAGGGGCTTCCTTTTCGACTTTCAAGAAACTCCTGAAGACCCTGCTCTTCAGAGAGCATCTTCTAAACTAGCACCCTCCCTGCACCTGTCCCCCTCTCTACTGTCCACTCCTTGTTCCCTCCTCTCCATGATTCATCATGCTGCCTCACTGCCACCTACGACTGACTGGAAATTGTTTGTTGTTGTTATTGTTGTTGTTAGCCTCAAGGGCAACATGCCGATTATAACTTGTAAGTCGCTTTGGTTTGCTAAATACATAAACATATTAGATGCCATGTTTCCTTCTACGGGAGCCCTTGAGGACAAAATGCATGACTGATTTGTAACAAACGGTTATGAAACTTTTACCATTCATAAACGTTGTCGTTTTCACGTTTACCTCCTTACTCATTGCCACTGATGAAAGGGAGCCTGATGTGCTTGTCATTGTGCTGAAGTTTCCACTCCCCATGTCTTTTTGACCATAATGGACAATGGGCATCCATTGGTAAGGTCTTACTCCAACAGGAAAATACAGCTTGATTGCAACAGTTTAGGTATCTGCTGCCCCCTATCGCCAGGAAAACTACTATAATCAGTTCAGTTGTCATTTCCCACAACAAATTCCCTACTTCTTATGGTGCATGCAGGTAAACTGTCTGCTCAGTATTTAGTAAGAGTCAAACCAAATCCATACATGGTGTGCAAAAAGGAAGAACAACTTTAATTTATTAATTTAGCTACTTTGTCACAGTTTCATTAGTGTTATTCCTATTCATTGTTATGAATTCATATTAAAAATAACATAATAATTAAACCTAGAAATTCCAGGATAGGCTTTTTAGTATTGTGCTATTTCCTAAGTTGGGCCCTATTTTCCTATAAAACCTTTATTATCAGTGCACTCTATGGATCATCTGTCATATAGCAGCTGTATCAGGTTCCTCATAGCTGCATTAAAATCAATAACTTTCAAAAATAAAAAGCTGTAATCAAAAGAAAACATACAGTATTTGATGCAGATAGTGTCAGTGGCACTGTCTCTGATTAAGACACTACTAGAGCTGCCACAAATTATTTTATTAGTTGACTAATCACTAGTTTTTTTTAGCGATTAGTCAACTAATCACTAATTTTTTTGCAATTAGTCGAGTAGTCAAGTCATGCATACAGTATAGTTTATTGCACCAGGATGCAGCTGCTCTACAAATCATTAGCTTCTAGTTTGAAGTGTGATCTGTTATGTGCCATCTAAAGGACAAGATGATAGCTTATCAAACAACAGGGGTGTCATGTCCGTCACCAACAAGTTCAAAATTGTCTTGGTCAGAACGTTTGCTTGCCGATGTGTGCATGTTGGCTTGATAACAAACTCATCTACTGAGGAGGAGCACTTTTTTCCACTGTAACGTAGCGGGGTACAATAAATCATTAGCATAATGTTAGAGCAAATATGTGATATACGTGTGCTAAAGGTAGTGAAATTGCCATTACTACTGTTGTTGCTACAGCTATAAATACAAGTAATTCCCTATCTATGTTAGCAGCTCACGAAAGGTAATTATCATACAGAGGTGACTGTCCCTCTTTCTCTGCCATGCCGTGCTTCTTTTTAAGGTACTCATGCCTCACCGTGAAAGAAGATTTCTACTTTGCAGAGTTTTCACTGTTCAGGGTTTTCTTCTATCTTTGTAAAATATTCCCAAAACTTTTGAGCTATGTTGCTGACTTGCCATGTCTTGTTTTTTTCCGATGACACGGCGGCTCACCCGGATGGCCTCTACTGCGCATGTGCGTTGAGCAGAAAGGCAGAAAGCTGCAGTGGTGCCTTAGCAGGCAATACAAACACACAAAAAAACAGTTTCATGGAAGAAACTAAGTAATTTCTTACATTTATTGTTGCCTTTTTTGTTTGTCAACATCAAAGTGACAAATAGACTAATCGTGGCAACACTGGGCACTACCAGTGTTAAAGCATTGGTGTTTTGTTTTCATATTAAAGCTGAAAATTGATCTGTGAGCTCCAATATACTTTTTGTAAAATTACCAAGGAAAACCTATTTTCTGTTTTATTCTAACACACATCGAGACAAGCCAGTTGAGGTGGCTAGGGCATCTGGTCAGGATGCCTCCTGGACGCCTCCCTGGTGAGGTTTACCGGGCATGCCCAACTGGAAGGAGGCCTAAAGGAAGACCAAGGACACGTTGGAGGGACTATGTCTCTTACCTGGCCAGGAACGCCTTGGGATTCCCCCGGAGGAGCTGGCCCAAGTGGCTGGAGAGAGGGAAGTCTGGACCTCTCGACTTAGGCTACTGCCCCCGCGACCCGACTTCGGATAAGGGGGTGAAAATTAATGGATGGATGATCGGATGAATTCTAACACAACTACTTCTAACTAAATACTTGCACACTTGTAGCATAGTAGCATGTGGAATTGTGCATTTAGGCAGAAAAGAAAATTTTCACACGATCTACGTCACACTGTCACCTAACATTTATGGACTCACCCATCTTGTCTCACAACAGGGAAGACTGTTGTTGGTTTAGCATCCAGGAAACGGCAGAGAACGTCTCAACTAGTAAAAGCTAACTATTAGCATTAGCAACACCACTGCACAGCAGAACTCCTCCAGGCTTGTGTTATTTGTTGCGATAAAACATAAACGTTGCAGGGCAAACAGAGTCAGTGGTCGGGTTGTGTTGTCGTTAGGCAGTCTAAGGCGAGATGTCTAAATATCAGGAAATAAAGACTTCAAATCCTGGTATGTTCAGCTCACTTCTAGTTCCTGAAACAGGCACTCTGTAACACCCCCCACCTGAGTACGACTGACAGGGCATTCTTTCTTACTAGAGACCACTGTAAATGTATTAAAATATGACTAAAATACCACTTTAATAAATAAAAATGAGTGAACTGCCTATTTATTACCTGTGGAATTAGGTTCACAGTAATAGTGACCTTTGGCATTGTTACCTTTACCACATTGCAAAGCATTCAGATCACAAGATTACTCATGGTAGTTTGGATTATTGCATCAAGGATGCTGCTGCACTTACAAAGGCATCAGCCCATTCAAAATGCCTTTTACACGTCATGGCTCTGTTATTTTATTTAACACCACACTTTAGAATTGCTATATGCATAATACATAAGTATCTTTTTCACCAGTTTTTATGGGGTAAGAACCTAAAATGAGATGTCGGTCTGTTTATCCCAATCCTTCCTTTCTCCCTCTTATTCACTCTTCTTTCTTGCAGGAAGCATGCCTTGAACTGTCACAGAATGAAGCCAGCGCTCTTCAGCGTTCTCTGTGAGATCAAAGAGAAGACGGGTGAGATTTTTGTCTCCATATACTCTAGTGTGCACAAGATGTAACTAACCAGGGATGTGAAAAGAGCCTTTTGCTCCAGGTTTTCTAGTATTCAATGATTAATTATAGAACTGTATTGATTGATTAAATGTAGTTTATGAACTTATTGAGCTTTGGTTTAACTTCACTTTAAATGAGCACTGGTTTCTTTGTTGTTTAGAGCTTTTGTTTATAGAACATTAACCTATTTCTGGGTGTTGTTCATACTTCACATTGACCACAATAAACAAATCATAGTCGACTGATACCTTTGAATCTTAAGGCAGCAGTACTTGCAAGTTCCTTTATAATTGTATTTCACCTTTCTTTTTCAGATTGAGCTAAAGCACCGAAATCCATAATCTGTGACTGAGTCTTACATTATTGCCTTTTCCCATTTCAAATGTTAAACAGTAATTTGACAAAGTGTATGAACCAGCAGGTTTTTTTTTCACAATTAAATATCAGCAATAGTTGTTTTATTGGAGCTGAAAAGACTTAATGCAGCACTTAAACTATCACAACTAATATATTAAAATGAAGCACAGTAGTTTCACACTTTGCAGTTAAATTATCCTACCACTGGATATTTTTGGGAATACATTGCTGCAACATTAGTAGCTTTGCTTCTACGGTGTTTTAAATGGATGAGACTCAAATAAATCTTGTAAATCACTGCATTTAGATATCTATGTTCAGTATAATCGTCAAGCTTTCAGATTTTCTTTTTCTGACCTTTTATTGTTTGGACCAGATATGTTTAGTGTGTGGTTCTGGTTATGCCAGTTTTTTTTTACCTTCAGTGCTGTTTTTCTCTCTCTTGCTTTTTGTGTGCATCTTCTAACAGTCAGCCTCTCTTGTTCAAATACAATTTGAAAATGCTGCACTGCTGCCTGTTGTGGCCCTCTGTCAGTAATGTATTATTGCTCTCCAGTGATTGGTGAAAAGTAAAGGCTAGGCTTGAGAGAGTGGGGCAGGATACACGGTTTCCCAGGCAACCGGTGGTCTTATTTACCCTAATGCCATTCACTTTGATTTTCACATGGAGTCTCTCTACAAACTAGATAGTGGAAATGTGAGTACTTGTTCTCTAGGAACAACAGAAATGCTGACACAGAACATGGTTAGATGTATAGTGCATTCATGCTTGAGGTGAATATTCCAGCCATTGAGATGCAGAGATCTTAGGCTTTGCGTGTACTGTGCTGGCCATCTGCCACGCTGCTCCCTGCCCTCTGTACCTGCTTTGGCATTTCACCACCACAGAGACCCCCTGTTGGCCTCATTGTCTATCTCTGATATTTAAAATGACTTGTCTTCGTTGTAGTTTGTCAGCTGACTCATAACATGGGCAATGATTTTATGCAGCATTTTCTCACTAACATGCAGTTGGTCTTCCTTACACACACACACACACACACATACACACATGCGCGCGCGCACACACACACACACACACACACACACACACACACACACACACACACACACACACACACACACACACACACACACACACACACACACACACACACACACACACACACACACACACACACCGAAAAGGGATAAAAGCAAACTCTGTCTTGGGTCTACTCGTACTGCCTCGGTCTTGTCCTCTCCCCCTCCCTCTCTGTACCTCGCTCCCATTCTTGAAAGAGAAGACTTGCTCTGAACTCAGGGCTTTGATATGGTAATGTAATGGTGGTGGTGGAGGAGGAGAGGAGGTGGGGCGTGGGGGAGGGGAGGTGAATTCCTTTGAGTGCTGCAGTTGGTTAGATTGTTTTCATTGTAAAAGAAATGTTCTGCGCAAATGTCAGCATCCAACCTCCCCCTACTGCTTTAAACCCCAAGAAACACCTAGTTTACCATCGTCCTGAGTTCTCACAACAAACATGACCAAACATGAAGGTTTTTCCTTTTATAATTTAATAAAGATGAACTACAAGAAGAAGAAAATACTTTAGGAAAGACTAAAATGATCAGTTTTCTTTCTTCTTGCACACATGGGTATTTGTAGTAACCTTTGTCACAGTGGGACAGTTTATACTGAAGTCTCACAGACAAACTCAAAGTTTTCTTTTAGTGTAGGTGTGTTCATCTTTAATATTCTCTCTATGCTTCACATGCATTCACTCATTCTATATTGTTACCTTCATCAAGTATATTTTTTCAACTCAAGTTTATTTATAAAGCACCAAATCACGACGAGTTGTCTCAAGGTACTTCACACAGTAAACATTCCAATACAGGTCAGTTCAGATCAGTAAAAAGTTTCCTATATAAGGAACCCAGCAGGTTGCATCAAGTCACTGACTAGTGTCAGAGTCTTTACAGCAATCCTCATGCTAAACAAGCATTTAGTGACAGTGGAGAGGAAAACTCCCTTTTAACAGGAAGAAACCCCCAAGGGATCCTGGCTCAGTATAAGCAGCCATCCACCACGACACACTGGGGATGGAGAAGACAGAGCAGACACGCACGCACGCACGCACGCAAACACACACACACACACACACACACACACACACACACACACACACACACACACACACACACACACACACACACACACACACACACACAGTTTGAGAGCAAAGTGCTCAGTTAGGAACATATGGAACAATCAGGTCACTGATGTATGATGGAGCTTGATTATTAAGAGCTTTATATGTGAGAAGGAGGATCTTAAAATCTATTCTGAATTTAACAGGCAGCCAATGTAGGGAAGCTACAACAGGAGAGATATGATCTCTCTTTTTAACCCTCTGGACGCATGCATTGCAGATTTGCAACGTTAAAACCTACCTACCTTGTTACTCCACATATGTATTTCATGAGCATTTTTAACTCAGAAGTTCCCCTGAAGGACTTAGTTGTTCTTCCTTTTATCAAAACTTATTTTGTAGGGCTGTAGCGACGCCTCGATGACGTCGACGGCTCGATTCTAAAAATTTGTCGACGTCAGATCCGGTAGTCGACGCACCGCGCCCACTTGTTGCATCCACAGGAGTTTGTAAATAGAAGAGGAATCTGCATGTTTTTCCTCTAGTTCGCCCTCTTCTCCACCTTCACTAACATCTCCGCCAAATACCGAAGACCCGGAACAACGTCCGTCCGCTACTAGATTCCTTTCCTGTTTTGCCCGCCTTCGTCTTCCGGCAACGGAAAACAACTTCCGGGGTCAGATGCGCTGCTCCGTCTTTACCGCAGATGTAGAACATCACCGGGAGCGTTTCTCCCTTCATAAAGGAGCTTCTTTCAGACATTAGCAGAGCTGTTTTGGTGGTAGCAGTCTCTCCTGCGTGCTGGTCTGTTTGCTGCTGGGTGTTTTTGGTTTACCGTAAATCCTCTAATACAGGCCCGGGCCTGTATTTGACTCAAGCTCATCGAGCTCCAGGCCTTTATTGGAAGGAGGGCCAGTATTAGAGGCAGGCCTCTATTTCTATTTGAGCAAAATGAACTAATGGTTCGCTGGAGTTTTTGACAATTAAAATTGCGCCCACATTTTCAAAGTTAAACACATTTCTTTTAACAACGGTAGTTTCTGCTTCAGCCCTCTCCCCCCTCCCCCTGCGCAGCAGCCGCAAACTCACTGATGCGCCTGCAGCCTCTCTGAGTTCCTGCTGCTCTAAACATTAAAATAATTATTTCATTTTCTGTTCCTCACTTCTGATGACCTTCAATGGTGTCTGTTTGTTGCAACAGCAGGTACAAAAACTAACTTTTTATTTGACTATTTTTCTGTCCTGTCTGTTTATTATCTTCCTGCATCTCCTCTCAATCCTAAAGAAAAACTGCTGCCTGGGTTCATATATATTCACCTCATGAGTTACCTTTGAACTGCAGTTCTAAAAGATCTACCGACCGCAAAAACAGCGGAGCGCTTGCTGTTTGGCGGCTGTATCAGTGATCAGTGCATCGGAGGACAAGGTGATGCCCACAGCGCCCCGCTCCACAGCATGCAGCGAAACGCATCAGGCGCAAATAAAAGACAGAAAACATTAAAGGAAATGAACCGACATGAACGATCGCGTGTCAGTACCTACGGTCTGGCACAGCGCGTTGCTGATCACAGAGAATGTGATCATACGATAATTCAATAGGGAGCGTGGTTTCACAGACGCGGAAATGATAGCGTCGGTGAAACGCCGGCTGATCTAGGAAACCCCCGAGCGTTCGAGCGTCAACGAAGTGACACGGAAATGCCGGGCTTTCCAGAAGTAAGTAAGATAACTTACTATGAGCTGATAGTTCGTTGGATTGATTGGTAGGTTGGAAACTCTGATCGTGAATCTGAAGAAACGATTACTGAGTGGTGAGCTGGAAAGGCGACTTCCGTTTATAGCCGCGGTTTGTGACGTAGGTGTGACGTGAAGGGAATCCCCGCGAGGGGCATGCTGGGAGTCCCTACTTCGCGGATTTTCACCTATCGCGGCCAGGTCTGGAACGCATCTACCGCGATAAACGAGGGATTACTGTAGTTCATACAACCCCTACTGCTGCTCTCCAGAGTGTTCTGCAGCATAATCAGCACGTTCTCTTTGAACTTGATAGTGTAATGACCTGGCTGGGGTTGTAAGCCAGGTGCATTCTGGGTATTGTGTTATATGTGTTTCCTATCGTTCTGCTAGTTCCTATGTGCTGATTTGCGTGTTGTGTGAGTGTTATGTAAGCCACAGAGAAGGTGATGTGTGTTCTGTGGAGCGGGTTGAATTAGCATGGTTAACTGACACCATGACTCTGTGTGGTAGGAGCGTGATAGAGGATCGTGTCTGTAGCATTACAAAGCGTTGAAGAAAAAGCCTCATAAAGGTCTGCGTGAACCCCTACTGCCTTCTGCTGGTTGGTTTGGGGACTATAACCCTACCGCTGGGACGCTTGTACTTGCTTGTTACCACATTCCATCCGGCCACAATAAGAGACCGGCCATTATTTACCTCAGCTGACTTTGACGCCGGCCAAAATTGGAGACCCGGCTT